ACTTGGAATTTCTTTATTTTTTTAAGATACTTTTTTGTATTTCCCTCATTCCATTACCAATTATAGGATCATAGATTTTGAGCTGCAAGGGACTTTAAAGGCCATAAATTTCAATTCCCTCATTTTACTAATGAGGAAAATGAGGCTGAGAGAGGCTATATGACTTAGCCAAGGACCCATACCTAATGAGTATCTGAGGCAAGTTTTGAACTTGGATCTTGCTGATTCTAAGCCCAGTACTATGGTGCCATCTACCTTTCCCAGCATCCTTTCTTGTTTCCAAGACGAGAGTCAGAACAACACTGCGAGGTAATGAGACACCCAAGCAATGAATGCCCAATGATCTTTGGAGTAATCAACTATACTGGGTGTCCTTCCAGAACTATGTGAAAGAGGACAAAATAGTTTGATGACCCTGCAAATTCTAGGATGAGATGGAAATAGAAGCTTGTGGGTGTTTTACATATTAGCTTTGTTCCTTACTATTTTTAAACCCATCTTTCCACCAGAGAAAACTATTTTCTCCCCTAAATCATGGCAGCCATGGTTGAGTGTTCATCTAATATCTTGAAGCTGAGGATTAGATTACTTGTTTAAAGCATAGCTTCCAATGTTACAAAATTGGTTTGAGATTAGGAAAATAGGCTGGGACCAAATTATAATTTCTTTTTCCCAAGTTAAATGCAAGAATTTTTCCTCATGTGGGGGAAATTTACTGTAAATAAATTATTGTCTTTTGTTTTTCTAACCCATTTCCCTTTGGGGAAAAGAAAGTAAATTCCTTAGACTCAAGTAGAAGATAGGAGGAGAATACATCACTGGATCCGTGCTATGCATAAATGCTTCCTTTAGCCCAATGCCATGATGAACAACACTCTCCTGACCTTACTTTCTGGGTGGGTTCCTTCCTCAATTTGAATTGGTGATGCTTTATCTTTGAATTGGCTATGATCACAAACAGGGTTTTGGCAAGAACACACACTTTTCCCTGCAGCTTCTTGCAGAATCAGCCAGATCTCTTGGTCCAGCTCCCTTCCTGTCCTCCCTTGCTGAGATCTATGTCTTGCCCTGACTATGATTTCTTCATCCTAGATTGTGGCCTCATCCTCCCCTTTTCCATCTCCACCCTATTCTTCTGACCTCACTTGTCAGGAACTGCCATCACCTGATGGCAAGAGGAAGCCTACCTTTCAAAACCAATCTGATTACATGAGTAATAATCCTTACCGGTTTGCATAAAGCCAATCTATTATAAAAGCAATCTGGTACCTTGAGAATTCAAACTAACTTAAGATCCAATAGATTGTAACTGACCAAAAAAATGGGTAACACATATAGCAAATCTGAAACTAAATAAAATGGCTCTGGAATAAAGACTCCAATACCTTAATAGAAAATATTTGGGGGGGGCAGTTAGGTGGTGCAATGGAAAGAATGCCAGGCCTGGAGTCAGGAAGGCCCAAGTTCAAATCTAGCCTCAGACACTTACTAGCTTTGGATCCTGGGCAAGTCACATCATTCCATTTGCCTCAGCTTCCTCATCTGTAAAATAGGCTGGAGAAGGAAATGGCAAACCATTCCAGTATCCTTGCCAAGAAAATCCCAAATGGGATCACAAAGAATCAGACATAACTGAACAACAACGTGGGTGATTAGTAAAATGTAGGTTGCTTGAGAACAAGGGGACATTTCATTTTGTCTTTTTATAATTAGAGCCATGCACAGTGACTTACACACAGTCATGACTGAATTGACTCAATAATAAAAATAACAACAACAAAATTACATGATTTTTAATATTTTATTAAAAAATGTATTCTAAACTTCACCAACACCAAGCTAAACAATCATTTCCACATATCTGCAGAATAGGAGAGAACTGTCCATAAAACTGTGAATCACTATTACATGAACTTGGCATTTCTTTTAAAGTTTGTAATAAATTCAACCTGTAACTTTCAAAACTGTCCTGCTTGTCTGTTTCCCTCTGGCTGGCCTTGCTTTTTCTTCTCATTTCCTTATTTTCTTTATCACAAGCTTTTTATGCAAATCAGCCCCAACCAGCTTTTGTGTGCCTGAGAGCTAAATGTAGAAACCATTCTTAGCTTGAGGGCTGTACAAAAACTGGCATCAATATATTTGCTGTGTTTTATATTATAACGTTAAATTCAGTTAGAGAAGGTAAACTTAGCTCCACGGTTTCGCAGTGCCTTTGTTCATCTAGTTTCATCTGGAAGAAAGAGTTTCTTCCTGAACTGTAACTAGGAATATTTTCACCAAAGTAAAAATCAGTTGATGGAGGGAGGTAGCAGTTCAGAGGACACGAGCTCAGCTGTGCTGGGAGAGGTGGCTGTTTGATCCCAGAGAGCCTTTTCTTCATGCCTGAATGGGCTTAGGAAAGATGGACCATGGAAAGGGGGCCAGGAATGCTGACCCATGAACAACCACGGCATGGCTCAGCAGAGGGCCTTAATACAACCAGCTAGTAAGAGTCTGAGGCTGGATTTGAACTCAGTGTGTGGGACAATGGCCACACTAGAATTAAAAGTTTGGAGGCTGAGTTAGAGATCAGAAAAGGTTTTTTTTCTTTCTCATGAGAAAGGGCACAGCCCTCATCGCTCAAGCAGCCACAGCCAGGGAGTGCAAAGTCTGTTAGTGGGGAACAAAGTTTTATAGTCCTAAAACAATACCCCCTCCCCATTCCTGAACCCTTCTTCCCATTGGCTGGGTTTCAGGGTGCACAATCTAAACTCGGGTTTCTAAGACCCTTAGTACAATAATATCCTTATTTGGAAATATTTGCCTAGAGACAAAGTATCGGGAAGACTTTCGATAACGGTTTAGAAGTTCCACCTAGGGACAGATAAGCAGGAAGCCCCTGGTGGTTAAGCTAGGAGTCTTTCACAATTTTTACCTTGCTAGAGGAATTAGAGCACAGGTTAGCTCTTGCTTAATGCACAGCAAATGTTTGCAGATTCATCAAGTTTTACCGCTTTGGGGGTACAAAGGGAATTTATGAGTTTTAGTACCGAGGAAACGTCATCTATCTCACTCATCAGGAATATGAGTCTTCCTAACTCCAGACCTGGCACTCTATCCACTGTGCCACCTAGCTATTCCCAAGCACTAGGGATACAATTAATAACAAGAAAGATAGCTGTTCCCCTTGAGGAGCTTAATGAGGGGGAGATAACACACAAAAGGAGGCAGGAAAAGAAGGCGGGAACCATTCATTTTCTGCCTTCTATAAAAGAAAGCATTGGGAGGAATTTGCCAAGCCTTCCAATCAGAAGGAAGAAGAGGCTGAGGGAGGTGGTGTCAATCAAGGGTTGAGTTCACAACATTGGTGAGATTAGAGGTGATGAATTTAACTTGGAAGGAGTAAACTTGGTCCATAAAGTTAAAACTAGGAGGAGGGGCAGGTGCAGAGTGGAGAAGTGTGTCTCATAATTTCTCTGGGCCTGTTTCCTCATACGTAAAAAGAGGGAGTTAGATTAGATGGGCTCTAAATCCCTTCTAGTTCTGAATCTATGATCCTCTAATTATAGAAGAAAATTAAATAGTAGACTGAATATTTTTTTAAAAGAAATGCATGGGTAGGACTGAGAGAAAGATTCCCACTTTCTAACACATTAACCATATATGAGGCCAAGTTATTTTTATTTTGATAAATTATTTCATTACACTAAATGAAGGTAATACCAAAGAGGAGGAAAAAGGAGTTGGAAGGGAAAGTATATATTCTAGATACAAATAAACACCACTTATCTTCCAGGAAATTAAATCTGGTTATAAAAAAAAAAACATGGTCTTTGTACTACTGTCTACATCTGTGCTTTTCAGTACACTATGTTTTAAATATTTAATTGATCAACAAGTATTTGTTAATGATTTATTAATAATTAATTATTATTAATGCTAAAATATTAATTGTTAATAATTATTAATTAAAAGAATTTATTAATGATGTGTCTGGCACTGTGCTGGACACCAGATACATAAAAGATAAAGGTAAAATAAAAAAAGAAATAGTTCTCTTCTCTCAAGGAATTTTTATGTTCTATCAAATATTTACTGTCATTTTGACTTTTAGTATATGGTTTTTTTCCATTTTTAGTGCTAATTATATTTACCATACCTCCGCTATAGTCCTACTCTATTGTGTTATTATGGAGGAAGGCTCTGCTAACTGAATGTGAGTTCTGGTGGATTCTTCCAAGCAAGAAAGATTTCAAGTGTGGCCCCAGTGAAGGACTATATGTTTGGAGAGGGTCATGGCCAGATGGATTGGCACAGGGTGATGGATTGTTCTGGGCACAGTAATTCATTAAACCATCTACTAAAGCAGAGCAGGAACTAGGGCAGAAAAGGCTGTGTCCCAGGAATACAACTGAAATTTAGAGACCCCTAACAACCTCAGCAGTACAGCTTAGCATCTGGTTAGCAAGAATAAATAGTGAAAATAGGAAGCTATCTGCATGGCATAATGAATGCAGAGCAGGCTTAGAAGTCAGGAAGACAGGTTCAAATCCTGTCTCTGACATTTACTTAAAACATCATGTTGAGCAAGTCTCTTAATCTCTGAGTGCCCCCAGAAAAGGCTCTACAAGTCACAGAAGAGTTGTAGATCTGCATTAGTAAAGGGATTTTCCTACACCAAAAACATCACAGGTCCAGACCCAAAAAATGGGAAGGGTTTGAAGGTTAGCAGATGGCATACTGACAACTTCACCCCAAGGCAGGCTCTTCCCTGAGCCGCTGACTCACCAGCCCCACCTCAGCAATAGCATTCATGGACACATTTACCCTAGATATAAAAATTGTCAGCTAATGCTCTCTACCAAATTATCGAAGGGTTGTCATTTACATCAGAGTAGTGAAAGCCTATATTCTGGCAAAAATATGGATTTTTTTGAAGTACTGAAAAATCTCTACTCCCACATGGCACAAAGTATGGGTAAAAATCCCCAAACTCATCAACTTCTTTTTTCCTTTTGTAGGGGGTTTTATGCAGAAAATGGCACTTGCAAACCCTGTGACTTAGCTTGTAAAACATGTGAAGGAAATGCCACCCACTGCCGCTCGTGTGAAAGGGACCTGGTCTTGGCCCAGGGCATGTGCCAGAAATCCTGCCCTGAGAGGCACATTGCCGTGGACGGGATGTGCAGACATTGTCCAGAAATGTGTCAAAAGTGCATACATGAGAAAACATGTAAAGGTATGTTGGAGAGATGGAAGGAGAAGTTGACCCTCTGGCCTTCCACCTAAAAAGGGGCAAGGAAACAGCAGATTCATGTATTCAGAAAGAGTTGTGGGTCTCAGTTTCCCAATGATGATTGAAAAGAGTTGGCTATTTCAATGTATGTCAGTCGGCTGAAGAAGACTACTGAGTATAAAGCTGAGAAATTCTTTATTTCGTCAGCCTGGCTTCAAGCCAAGGAAAAACATGGACTGGGTTTACATTAGACAAACAGAATCACATCCGGACTGTGAGGGGTTTGATACAGGATTAGATTCCTAAAACAAGCTGTTCCTTCCCTGATACAAATTTTAAAAGCCTTTGTGTGTGTCTAGAGTGAAGCACTTTGATCCTGTCTAGAAGATCCCTAGCTATTGAGTAAATATTTTATTATTCAAGGTTCCCAAGGTATACAGTGAAATTCAATTCAAGAAGTGTATATTAAGTGCCTGCTATGTGCCAAATACTATACTAAGGACTAGGGATAGAAAAGGGGGGGGGGGGAAACGTGGTCTTGCCTTCATGCAGCTTATGCCCTGTTAGGGAGAAAAAACATGTTTCTGTAAAATTAATGTAGTCCCTATTTCTTAAGGGGGGGGGTGACCTCTTGTTCTCTTTTGTGATTTAGAATGCATGCCGCCTTTCCTCTTGCATGATGAAATGTGCCTTCGGGACTGCCCCCCTGGCTTCTATGAAGACTCCTACAAGTGTCACCCTTGCAGTGAGAGCTGTAAGGAGTGCAGTGGCCCCGATGATGATGACTGTAAAGCCTGCCCTGATTCCTGGGTTCTCTATAATGGATGGTGTCTGGATGCATGCCCAGATGGGACTTACTATGAAAGGGGTTCCAGAGACTGCAAAGGTAAAGACCACAGGGGACTATGATGCATTGAACTTGGTGTTGTGTTGAGGGAGAGAAGAGTGGAAAGCAGCCTTTTTAGCTAGGTTAACTCTCTGTAAGTCATAGATGGGTCAGAATGAGCTTAGTCGGGGGATTTTGCACACCTGTGAAACATAGGTCCTTAACATATTAGATTTGGCTGGCCCTAGGTAGTGTTATAGAGGTGATCAAGTTTGTTTTCAGTGCCCTCAGTCTCCCTTTTTAAGCCTTTTTCCCACGATGCCTCCTAAATCTACTCCCTGTGGGTCCCTAGTCTTCCCCTGCATTCTGTTCCCTGTACAGCTTGGTGGTATACTGGACAGAGTGCTGGGCCTAGGGTTAGGAAGACCTGAGTTCAAATTTAGCCTCATACACTTACCAGCTGTGCAATCCTAAGCAAGTCACTTAACCTCTGTTTGCCTCAGTTTCCTCAACTATAAAATGGGGATAATTACAGCACCGAACTCCCAGTGTGGTTGTGAAGATCAAATGAGAGGATAGCATAGTGCCTGGCACATACAAGGCACTATAAAAATACTTATTCCCTTCCCTCAATGGAAAGGACACTGAATTTAGAGTCACAAGACCTGAGTTCAAATCCCAGTTCTGTCACTTACTATCTGTGTGACCTTGAGCAAAAAAAAATAATAACCTCTCTAGGTGTCTGCTTTCTCACATGGAAAATGAAGGGTGTTGGATTAGATGACTTCTAAGTCTAGATTTATAATCCTGCGATCTCTCCTACTCTCAGGAAAAGGTTTGAAATCAGTCATATACACATCAAAGTGAATTTAATTCTAGGTATTACCTTTTCCTGGGCTGTAGCATTTAAAATCTAATCTCTAGGGGCAGCTAGGTGGCACAGTGGATAGAGCACTGGCCCTGGAGTCAGGAGGATCTGAGTTCAAATTCAACCTCAGACACATAACACTCACTAGCTGTGTGACTCTGGGTAAGTCACTTAATCCCAATTACTTCAACAACAACAACAACAAATCTAATATCTAATAATGGAATAAGGTTTGGTGCTGTGGTGTAGGAACTTCAGACATTCTGCAAAACAGAAAAGAATTTGGGGAGAGGGGTTGTGAGCATAGGTGGGGATCCTGTTGTTGATACTCTACCTATGACAAATATCTTCTGGCTCTGTAGCAAGCAAGCAGAGCTTCATGAGCCCTAAATAGTTAGTAGACATCTCTGGCTTTGCACACACACACACACACACACACACACACACACACACATACACACACCTCCTTTTTACTTGTATGAGTGGGCTCCATGGCATACAACACCCTTAAAGGATGCTACTGCCATTGCAGGTGGGACTCTACCAAAGTGCCCCTCCAAAGCCTTACCAAAATATAGAAGAGAAACTAAGTGATAGGCAAAGGCCCCACCATCCCAGTTTTGCTGACAGAAGAAGAAATAGGTTCTTTCCTACTTCCTTGCTCTGTTTCATGAAAACAGCACCTATCCTTGGCAAGAGCACTGGATTTGAAATCAAAAACCTGGGTTCAAATCCAGACTCATCTCTTGTGATCAACATAACCTCAGGCAACTTGTTTCACCTCCCCAGGCCTCAGTTTCCTCATCTGTAAAATGAGGGAATTAGACAAGTTAACCACTGGCGTCCTTTCCTGCTCTAGAGCTATGATTTTACAATTCCTAAGAATCATAGAATTTGAATTGGAAGAGACCTAAGAAATCATCTAATCGAATCCTCTCATTTTACAGAAGAAACGAAGTCCAGAGAAGCAATAGCTATTATAAAATATGTTATTGCTCCTGGTTTGTCCTACTAACCTAGAAGGTCCATAAGCATGCAAGCAGAGATTGTCTCCATGAGAATTACCCTCACTAAGCTCAGAGAGGTTCTTTGCCAGAAGCGTGTCCACAAGGAGATTATTGATATTATTATCATTACTTTTACCAAAAGTGACTTCTTCTAGACTTCAAACTGACAAAGGAGAAAGGAGCGAAGGAAGGGAGGGAGGGAGGAAGGAAGGAAGGAAGGAAGGAAGGAAGGAAGGAAGAAGGAAGGAAGGAAGGAAGGAGGGAGGAAGGAAAGAAGGGAGGAAGGGAGGAAGGAAGGAAGGAAGGAAGGAAGGAAGGAAGGAAGGAAGAAGGAAGGAAGGAAGGAAGGAAGGAAGGAAGGAAGGAAGGAAAGAAAGGAGGGAAGAAGGGAGTGGGAAGGGAGAGAGGGAAGGAAGAAAGGAAACATTTATTAAGCACCTACTATGTGCTAATCGCTTTACAAATAGTATGTCATTTGATCCCCTCCACAACCCTGGGAGGCAGGGATTATAATATTTCTGCATTTTACAATTGAAAAAACTGAAGCAGGGAGAGGTTAAGCAACTTCACCAGGCTCACACAGCTAATAAGTGTCTGATGCCAACATTGCCGCCCGGGGGCGCTGGAATGATCCAGGGGGGTGGTATTTTTTTAAATGATGCAAATTTCAAAAAAAAAATGTTAAAGGGTTAAAGAAAATAGATATCCCAGGGTGGCAGAGGCAAGATAGAGATGATCCAGCTTCCTGAGTTAAGGGCCAGGTTTCATTCCCATTTCACCAAACCTGCCTGGAGAAAGGCTATATTTCTAAGACTTATGCTGAGAAGAGTCCTTGGGTGACGACAAGGAAAGTAACAGCAAAGACGGTTTTTCCCCTTTTGTCCCAGGGACTTAACACTTTACTCCAGAGCCCTAGACCTTGGCCAGAAATGTCCCAGCCTAAGCTGGATAACTGGTCTCACCCTCTTGGAATTGGGCTACAGCATCTTTTTAAGAATATGGTAGTAGAATGGATGAAAAGATAGTAGATGTAGAGCTGCATGAAACCTTTGAAATCATCTAGTCCAATCCCCCATTTTAAAGATGCAGAAACCAAGGTCAAGAGAAGTTAAGTGAGTTGTCCCAGGACAAGCTAGTGAGAAAGGTAGAATTTGAGTCAGGGCCTCTGACTCAAAAACTAGTCATCTTCCCATTGTACTAGATGAGAATTTCTTAGATGTTGTCATAAGCAATGAAGAAGCCCAAGGTTTACCTTCTGTCCTGCTGCAGGTTGCCATGAGACCTGTAAGACTTGTTCCTCTTCTTGGATGTGTGCTTCTTGTAAAGAAGGCTTGGCAATGACATGGCTGGGATCCTGTGACACATAAGGACTGCAGCTCTTCTGAATACATGGATGAGAAGACCCAGATCTGTAAACCTTGTCACGAGAAATGCTCTCAGTGCACAGGACCTGCTGAAGATGACTGCCTCAGCTGCGCCACTGAGGGCCTTCTTCTCAGTGAGTATCTATCTCTTCCTTGAGGCAAGGCAAGTGGGTCCCACTGTCTCAGACAGAAATCAAATCTGGTGTGGTTAGCCCTGAGTGACACCACCAAAGTTAACTGGTGTCTGGGGGTGCCATGAGCAGGGGAGAAAGAGGGGAGGGGGAAGAGAAGGAAGGAAGGAAGGGAGGGAGGGAGGGAGGAAGGAAGGGAGGAAAGAAGGGAGGGAGGAAGAAAGGAAGGAAGGAAGGAAGGAAGGAAGGAAGGAAGGAAGGAAGGAAGGAAGGAAGGAAGGAAGGGAAGGAAGGAAGGAAGGAAAGAAAGGAAGGAAGGAGGGAGGAGGGAGGAGGGAAGGGAGGAAGGAGGGAAGAAAGAAGGGAGGGAGGAGGGAGGAGGGAAGAAGGAAGGAGGGAGGAAAGAAGGAAGGAAGGAAGGAAGGAAGGAAGGAAGGAAGGAAGGAAGAGAAGGAAGGAAGGAAGGAGGAAGGAGGGAGGGAGGGAGGAGGGAAAGGAGGAAGGAAGGAGGGAGGAAGGAAGGAGGGAGGGAAGGAGGAAGGAGGAAAGGAAGGAAGGAAGGAAGAGAAGGAAGGAAGGAAGGAAGGAAGGAAGAAAGAAAGGAAGGAAGAGGGAGGGAGGGAGGAGAGGAGGGAGGGAGGAAGGAAGGGAAGAAAGAAGGGAGGAGGAGGAGGAAGGAAGAAGGAAGGAGGAGGAAAGAAGAAGAAGGAAGGAAGGAAGGAAGAAGGAAGGAAGGAAAGGAAGGAAGGAAGGAAGGAAGGAGGGAGGGAGGGAAGGGAGGGAAAGGAGGAAGGAAGGGAGGGAGGAAGGAAGGAAGGAAGGAAGGAAGGAAGGAAGGAAGGAAGGAAGGAAGGAAAGAAGGAAGGGAAGGAGGGAGAGAGGAAGGAAGGGAAGGAGGAGGGAGGGAAAGAGGGAGGGAGGGAAGAGAAAAGGAAGGAAACAAGAAAGGAGGGAGGAATGAAAAAAGGAAGAAAGGAAGATCTACATAGAGATAGTGCTCAGTCAAGTTGGCCTTTTAATGCATCCATTGCTGAAACTCAGCCATTTCCTAGAGCTGATATATGATAGATGGTCAGGTTGGTGGTGCTCTGGTCTAACAAATATTGAGGGCATTTCTTTGTCTCAGTAATTAGTATTTGCCACTATTTCAATCATCAAGCACTTAAGAAATGCTCACTAGGTCCTAATCACAGCTCACTGAATGTCCTGGCTGAAAAGTAGACCATAATCAGAATTCAGAAAGAATAACATTGGGTTCATTCTATTTCCAAATACCGAGAGTTGGGTTTAGAAGGTACCAGGATTGGCAGTAATCACAATATCAAACTCACCTGGTAGTGTGTAAACCAGGCACTGTACAATGCCACGGAGACCAATATTGTCTCTGCTTCAAATTAATATTTGAATTGTAGATCACATTTATGATTACTCAAGTAGTCTTACTTCCAGCCTATGGATAAAGCCTGGAGAGAAATCTGGTGTCCAGAATTATATAATTAAACTTCTAAAAACCAGAAAGAAGAAAACCTTTATACACTCCCACACCACATTCCATCATATGTGAATCTATGAAATACAAATGTTCATGTAGACAAAAGAAATCACACAGCAGAATCTGTCAAGGGTTGAAAGATTCTGCTTAAATTCTGTTTTTCCCCATTCCCCTCCAATTCTAGCCATCCTTCAAGGACCACCACGAGTCCAACTTGTTGCGCTGAGCCTTCTGTCCACTATCCCCTACGTTAACCTTTTCCATCTCTACATGCTGACTGCACTTACCATCAGTATCAAACAATTTCATTCCTTACTATAAACTTATTCTCTAATTTTTTCATGCATAAAAATATTATTACAAGCAACACTTGGGCAATAGGAAACATGTCTCCTTATGTCAAGCTTGGAGAAGAGTAGACTCAAACGGTTGTGTACATACACTTTGTAGATAACAGTGAATGCTGAGAATGCTGCTAACTCTTTTTCCCCCCTTTTCAGATACAACTTGCGTAGAAAAGTGTCCTGATGGCTACTATACTGATACAGAAAATTACCGATGTTCTCCTTGCCATAGCTCTTGTGAGACGTGTGAAGGGAAGCATAGCACCCAATGTCAATCCTGTCATCCAGGCTGGTTCAGGCTAGAAAATAAATGTCTGCTCGAATGTGAGGAAGGGTAAGATTGTCTTACAAACTCAAGCTTGGCATTCAGGGCTATCTGGCTGCAGCCTTCCTCTTCAGATTTATTTGATGCAAAGAATGCCTTTTAAACTTTTGAACCTAGAATTCAAGTGGATAGGGGCTACACCTGGGATTTCATGAGTATAAGGAACCCCCTCTAACAATGTAGGTCAATACCTTCTCTGTAACTATAGTGCTTTGGGGTTTTTTTTAGGCAATTGGGGTTAAGTGACTTGCCCAGGGTCACACAGCTAATAAGTATTTGATCTGAGGCTGGATTTGAACTCAGGTCCTCCTGACTTCAGGGCCAGTGCTTTAACCACTGTGCCACCTAGCTGCCCCTTGTAACTATAGTCTTAAGAGAATTTCCCAGATAGGGCAATTTAATTAATTGAGATACATTAATTAATTAATTAATTGATTGATTGATTGATCATTTATATCCAGGGTCAAACAGTCAGAAATGGATCTTGAACACAGATTTTCATGATTCTGAGGCCACCTCTTCACCTGTGTGCCACACTGTTTCTCTCTGGCATTTAAGTCTATCCAGAAGGAAAGAAACAGGCATTTATTAAGTTTCTACTATGTGGCAGGTATTGTGCTAAGCACTTTACAAATATTATATAATTTGATCCTTACAACAAGTGTTATTATCCCCATTTACAGTTAAGGAAACTGAGGCAGAGGTAAAATGACTTTCCCAGGATCACTTGGCTAGTAAGTTTCTAAGACCAGATTGCTGGGCCATCTACAGTCATCCTGATCCATATCTGACCCAAACGCCTCTGGAAGAGAAAGTGAGGCTGGTGACTTTGCACAGCCCTCCCTCACTCAAATCGAATTTAATTGCAAGTTATGTCATGATCTCCCTGGTGTCATGGTCCTCTTCGAGAATGAAGGACAAAACACAACCACACAAGACCAGTTTTGAATTCAGGTCTCCCTGATTCCAGGTCCAGAGCTCCATCCACTATACCACCTAGTTGCCAAACTTCCTTTCCAGGTTTGTTTGATTCTAAGAATGCCCTACAGACTCTTGAGCCTGGTATTCAAGGCCATCCATAATTGGGCTCCACCCTTCTTTTACTTAATTCTACTCCCCTTTACACACTCTGTGTTCCAGCCAAATTAAACGGCTCATTGTTTCCCCGATCTCATCTTGCCTTCTACCACCTATGTCATCATAAAGTCATCCTTATCCCTTGAATGAGGCAGTTAGATGGCTCATTGGGTGGAGGGCTGGGCCTGGAGTCAGGGATGCCTGAGTTCAAATCTGGTCTCAGATACTTAGCAGCTGTGTGACTCTGTACAAGTCACTCAATCTCTATTTGCCTTAATCCATGGGAGAAGAAAATAGCAAACTATTCCAGTATCTTTGCCAAGAACCCCAAAAGGGGTCACAAAAAGTCGGATATGATTGAGCAGCTGAACAACAATTCCTCGAATACTTTCCCTCCCCATACGCACCCACTGAAATCTTTTCCATCCTTCACAACCCAGTTCAGTTGACACCTCGTCCATGAAGCCTTCATCAACAGCACTCACCTTCCTTCTCATTTTTTACTCGAACCCTTCAGATCTCCTACCTTATCACATTTTACCTTGTATCATACTTATCTATGTAGTGTCATATCAACCATTCACCCAACACCCTATATTTCATGCTCCTAGAGGACAGGGGCTACCCTACTCAGTACATATTGTTTATTCATTTTTAGTTGTCCAACTCTTCATGACCCCATTTGGGGTGTTCTTGGCAGATACTTGGAGTCGTTTGCCATTTCCTTCTCCAGTTCATTTTATAGATGAGGAAACTGAGGCAAACAGGTTTAAATGACTTGCCTAGGGTCACACAGATAATAAATATCTGAGGCCAGATTTGAACTCAGGAAGATGACTCCAGGCCCTGCACTTTATCCGCTGTGCCACTTAGCTGCTCCAATACATAACACAGTGTTTTCCATGTAGTATCGGGATAGGAACTGTACCTGCGATTTCATTGTTGTAGGGAAGTCCTGGATGAGGAAATTCCCTCTACCAACACAGGCTGGCATCTTCTCTGGAACTTGCGGTCTCAGTCACCTAGACTACTAAGAGGCTAAGTGACTTCCCCAGGATCACACAGGATCAGAGGAAGGATTTGCACTCAGGTTTTCCTAGCTCTAAGGCCAGCTTTCTATCTATCATGCCACAACTAACTCTCATCTTACACATAGGAAGGGTCTGATAAATGTTCGTGGAATTGTGTTGAAGAGTTGGAGACAAATTTAAAAGAAAGCTTTACTGAACAAAGAGATGAAGTCCCTTAATGAATGAAGCAATCAGCAAGTGTTTATTAAGCATCTGTTCTGTGCAGCTAAGTGATAGAACAGGGGACCTAGAGCCAGGAACACTGGAGGTCAAATCTAGTCTCAGACACTTAATAAACTGTTAGACCCTGGGCAAGCCACTTAACCTCTGTCTACCTCAGTTTTCTCAACTGTAAATAGGGGAGGGGGAAGAGGAGTGTAATGGTAGCACCTACCTCCCACAGTTGTTGTGAGCATTAAATGAGATCAGATTTATAGAGTACTTTACAAATTTTAAATCCCTATATAAATGCCAGCTATAATTATTAGGTGACAGGCATTGTGCTAAATGCTGGTGTTACAAAGACAGAGGTGAAATAGTGCCTATCCTTGGTAGGGGTGGGGGTGGGGGGTGGAGGGGTTGGAACAAAACATAGTAGGAATGGGCAACATGTACATATAAGTGTATATGAAATAGAAGAATAGGGACTGGGACTGGACCCACGATCTCATCGCTATAGGGGACTATCATAAGGCAACTCCCTCTACCTCTAATACTGGATAGCACCTTTGCTGTAACTTAATCTCTTAGAATTGCCTAGACTCACAGGGGTGGGGAAACTTCGGCCTCAAGGTCCTCAAGTGCAGCCCTTTGACCTAATCCAATATTTGTTCATGCAGTTTGGATTCAGTCAAAGGGCCACACTTGAGGACCTAGAGGGCCCTTTGAATGCAAATTTCACAGAACAAATATTGGATTAGGTCAAAGGGCTGCACTTGAGGACCTAGAGGGCCACATTTGGCCTCAAGGCCGAAGGTTCCCCACCCCTGGTAAGGTTAAGTGACTTGCCCAGGCTCGTACAACCAGTATATGTCAGAGACTGGTCCTCTACACCATATTGAAAGCAGATCCTCTACACCATTTTTGCCTCTCATACAAAATACATGGAAAATAAATACCAAGTAATTTGGGGTGGGGAGTTATAATCCTTGTGTGGCCCTTTCTTTCATCATTCTTACCATGTCTTTGGCCATTCTTTTTAATCACTGTACTTTTCAAACATATTATGGATCTGATAATTGACTTGCCTTGACTGATAAACTTGAGAGAGCCCTCAACCATCTATGCACAATGAAAAGATGATTTTCCTTGTCTAAGTCCTCTGGGAGCCTAAGTGGTATTAGTAGGGTCTGAGTGGGACAGCTTATGCAATTTATCTATGTAATAAGTTGAGAAATAGCTAGACGCAAACTTGGGTTGTAAGAATATTCCCTTTCATCTTGACTATTAAGAAGGGAATGCTAAACTGAAAATTGGTCTGAGCCGGTATTTTTGTCATATTTGAAATCTAGCATGAACCCTCCTCTTTCCAAGATAGTTTAAGTGCATATTCCTGCCAGATAGAGGCAGAACTAAGAAAGAGCAGCTAGGACTTCAGCTGGGGCACTGGAATTCAAGATTGTAAAAATATAATACATACCCTGCTTCACAAGCTAGACGCCACTAGATAACTAATCTCCCCTTCCACTCAACTGAATTAACTTAATTGACATATTAATTTCATATAGCTAATTAAAGTTGATTTGAGGGGTATTTGCCCATTTTGTGCTGATTGATCCAGTTGGAGACTTTTTTCAAGTTGTTTGTCCAAGACTGGACTTTGTGCTCTAGGTGCCAACATTATTAGTTATGGCTCCGCCCTTGAGATTGAGAGAAAAACTAGATGATCTCTTGAGGCCTCTACTAGCTAATAATCCCCCTCCTCTCATGTGGTACCCCATCAAAAAATACAATCATTTCCAAGTTCAGATGGTGGGTTGGCATTAAACTAAATTTGCAGTTTATGAAAGTCTTAAAAATATATTTTTGTTGCTCTTTCATCAAAACCCATCTGTTAATGTTGAAACCCTCATCCTCTATAACGTCCCCACCCATTTGGAGAGGGATTTGATTGTGTAATAATTAGAAAAATAACTCAGAAGCCCATTCACAATTTTCTCCATTTCCTTTTTCACTTTTACTGTGGCTCAAGGCCGGAGTTTGAAATGAAGAATCTGTTGGTCAGATCAAGCTCTGTCAGGAGAAAAAAAAAATGAAACTGAAAGGACCAGCTACCAAAAAGTTCACAAGGGGGAAAACTTCTTAATAAGGAAATGGAAAAACTCAGTCTTTTAGGTGAAAATTGAATTACTCCCTACCACTGGGAAAACAGCAACAAAAAAGATATGAAAATAGAATTGATTTGGTTCTGACAAAGAGGAAAAAAATGAATATTCCTTTAGCTATGGAGTTTCTTTGAAAGTTGTTTTTGCCTTTGTTTCAGATATTATGCAGATAATTCCAGTGGACTATGTGAAAAATGCAACCAGGACTGCAGAGAGTGTTGGGGCCCTCGCTCCACAGACTGCTTGTCTTGTCACAAGTATTTCTTCCTGATCCACTCTAAAGGAGAATGCCATCGCACCTGCCCTGAACACTACTACACAGAAAACAGGACACATACCTGTGAGAGATGTCATCCGACCTGTAATGAGTGCAAAGGTGAGGAAGATGATCTCAGAGTGGAATTTATCACGTGGCCATGCAAGTAGTTAGCAAGACTTCTTGTCACCGCCTGTATCAAATCCGAACTTCTGTAGCTAGTCAGTCAGCTAGCTTTTATGAACCACCTGCTGTGCTCCAGGTGCTGTGCTAAATGCTGGAGATAGAAAGGCAAAAGGCAATCCCTCCTTTTAGGCAGCTCTCAGTCTAATGGGGGAGACAAGATGCAAACTATATACAAAGAAGGTGGTTGTTTGTACTTTGTTCTTGTAGAGGACTGACATCAAGAAGGTGATGTCATGGCTTGCAAGTGGGTTGGATTTAAGTGACAGAGAGCTGTGCAAAGTCACCAGCCTCAGTTTCTCCTCCAGAGCCATCAGAGTCCAGTGGCAAGATATTGATCAGGATGACCAGAGATGGCCCCGGATGCAGCTGAAGACCTTGGCCTTTTTAAGCTAAGATCTTTCCCAGTCTCAGATACAAACAAGATAAATATAGGTGAATTGGTGATAATCAATGGAGGGAAGGCATTCACTTTAAGAGATTAGGAAAGGCTCTTGTAGAAGGTGGGACTGTAGCTGAGTGAGACTTGAATGAAGCCAGAGGAGCCTGAGGGTGGAGATAAGGAGGGAAAGCATTCCAGTCATGGAGGACAGCCAGCAAAAACCAGCTGGGAGATGGAATGTCATGTGCCCAGACGAGGGACAGCAAAGAGGCCAGTGCCACTGGGTCTCAGAGTATGTATTTAAGGTATAAGAAGACTGGAAAATTAGGAGGGAGCCCAGGTTATGAAGGGCTTTGAAAGCCAAACAGAAGATTTTATCCTTGATACTGGTGGTAATAGGGAGCTACCAGAGTTTACCGAATCAGAGTGATAAGGTGACTAAATAGTGAAAAGAACTTCTGACTGAATCAGAAGACCTGGGTTCTAGTTCCCCCTCCTCTACTAACTCATCCTGTGACTCTTAGCCAAGTCACAGCCCCTCTTCGGGAGGGTTTGTTTATCCATAAAGTGAGGGTGTTGGACTGGATCATCTCTGAGGTGCCTTCCAACTCTGACATTCTAGCAATGTTTCTGTGAGCTGTCAGCTTTCGTAGGTCCTTCATCATCAAGCCCACCCACCCTCATTTCTCATTACTCTCATCACGACAGGAGGTGTGGTTGAGTGAAAAGTGTGTTAGACTTGGGGTCAGGTCTTTTTGATTCTGGCTTCCGAGATATTTACTAGTTGGGGGAGCATAATCACCTCACTGTCCCTTAAATTCACTATGAAAAGTTCTGCACTTGGATGTATGAGACCTGGGTTCAAATCCTGATTCTGATACTTGCTAAGTACATGACCAAGTCACTTGAACTCTGAGCCTCAGTTTCTGTATCTGTAAAATCATCATAAAAATACTTATGCTACCAACCTCAATGGTTCATATCAGGATAAGTGCTTTGTAAAACTTAAAGCACCATATAAATGGGAGTTAGCATTATTAACAATAGTAATATTTTGCATTTAAATAACACTTTATATCTCCTATTTAGTATCTAATTTCCTGCTGCCAAGTTTTCATACTCACTGATTCTCTCACCTTAGAATATCCTCTTCCCTCCTTGGCTTTTCAAATTCTGCCAATCTTTCAAGGCTCTCATGTCCCTCCACTTCCAGGGAGTCTTCTTCAATTATTCTTTTATCAATTATTATTTATTTTTATTCCACATTTTTCCTTGCCTCTTTCCCTCTTCTGAATGTCTATTAAGCTAGTTAACAGAGGCAGCTAGGTGGCACAGTGGATAGAGCACCGGCCCTGAAGTCAGGAGAACCTGCAAGTTCAAATCCAGCCTCAGACCAAATACTTGACACTTCTTAGCTGTGTGACCGTGGGCAAGTCACGTTACTCCAATTGCCTTAAAAAAAAAAAAAAGCTTGTTAACATAATGAAATTTAGCCATTACTCATTCTCCAGTTGTTTCACATGTATTAATTTCGTCTCCCCGGTTAGTTAGAACTCCTCAAGGACAAACATTACATCTTAAACAACTTCTCTATCCCTTGTGGCATCCAGCACAATGCCTTCTACAAAGTAGTTGATTCTCATAAGCAACAAATCCAATTGAACACTTACTAGGTTCTCAGTGCTAGATACTCCAATGGGTACTAAAAATGCACAGTCTGCTCTCAACAAACTTCTAATCTACTCCAGGAGATAAGCCTTCCTTCCGAGATTACCTTCAATTTACTTTGTCTATATCTTGTATGTAAATAGTTGTTTACATATGGTCTTCCTCATAATGAAAAGTTTTTGAGGGCGGGGACCATTTTTCCCTTTTTTTTTGTTTGTTTTGTTTTTTGTATCCCCAGCCCTTACCACAGTGCCTGTTACATAATGAGAGTTTATTAAATGATTGTTGGCTTGCATTGACTTGATAAAGAAATGAATAACACAAGGCAACAAACATACATACACACCTGGAATCCCACCAGGACCTGATCAATTTACTAATTTAAGGCCAATGTAGTCAACTATCCCTTGTTCCTCTGCAAAAAAAAAAAAAAAGATAGCGTTAAATAAGCAGGTGCTAGATGAGCAAATTTAGAGAATCCACTCCAAATGTTCACATGGATTGTCTGTGCATGACCTGTGGTAGAGCATTCCAACCTTGAGATGATTTAATGAACCACAGTCGGACACATTGTACTTTGACTCTAACATAGTGATGTAATTTTGGTCCCCTTTGAGAACAAAGGACAACCACCACCACCAAGCAGGTACAGCCATAGCTTCTTACCCGTGTCACGCTCTTCACCTGTTTCTACTAAGCATTCGCAAGCAAGCAGCAAATCACCTGGCTTGTAACGATCTTCTAATTTCTTAGGATTGTGTGATGTGAGTGCGTGTTTCCAGCATTAAATCAGATCTGGCAAGAGTCTTAGATCTTGATCATTTTAAATTATATCCAGATCCCTCTCTGCTAATCCCCAGGCCTTATTAGATACCTGAAACTTTGAAATGAAATGGAACAAGAAGTCTTTGAAAAGGCTGCCCTTGGAGAATTCATTTTTCATCTTTCTTCAAACTCACCTTGGAGCTGCTCTAAGCACAGAGCACTGGACTGGCTTGAAAGGGCAGCCCCATGGGGAGAGGAGAACACAGGAAGAAATCAGCATTGATCGCATCATGTAATAAAGAGGTCGTCAGCCAGTCAGCATTAGAGTGGACTGATGTTTTCATCCCACATAGTTTAGCCAAGTGGTGGGTTGTTATCCTTCATTCTAGAAGAGAATGAAAATGACATCACTATGCTAGAGTCAAGCTACAGTGTGTCTGACTGTGGCTGATCAGACCAATACAAGCTCAGAATGCTCCATCATAGATCAGGCACAATTAGTCCATGTGAACATTTGCAGTAGAGTCTCTGAATTTGTGCATCTCACATTTCTGTTGATCTACTTCAATTCTACTTTGCTCACAGATCACAGCACCTTCTCTGATGAGGGCACGCCATGCTGGGCAGTCCTATGCCAGTGTCTCCCATGTCAAACAATCAATTCTAAAATTCTTAAGTGAGACCTTGAGAGTGTCCTTGTATCGCTTCTTCTGACCACCATGTGAACACTTGCCCTGTGCTAAAAAAAAAAAAAAAGCTTAGCCAAGTACAGCATATCCTAACCCAAGTTCACCCAAGCTTGTAAAAGAATCCAGAACTTGTGTCAAATCTGGGGAGGTGTTAAAGCTGACACTTCCTCAAACATCAAATGCAAGTGAAAAGAACCACATCTGGTGATGAAATTCACATTTGCATTCATAGGTTTATACTTATTTCTTCCAAAAGAGAACAAATCACTTTCTGGGAAGAAAGGGTTAGGACAGTTGGATTGTTACTTAGTGGCAACCTAGAAACAGTGATTTATTAATCAGTGTCTTAAGAAAATGCATTCTCGGGGCAGCTAGGTGGCACAGTGGATGGAGCACTGGCCTGGAGTAAGGAGGACCTGGGTTCAAAACCAATCTCAGACACATAACACTAGCTGTGTGATTCAGGACAAGTCACTTAACCCAGATTGCCTAAAAATAAAAAAGAATAGACGTCCTCACTAAGTTTGGCAACAGTACAGTGAGCCCGCAGAATCAGGGGGCCACCAAGCTGCCTAAGGATGAGGGAACCAGCCCAGGTGGGAAACAGAACAGTCCAAAGCTTCCCTGCCAGTTACCAGTGAGATACAGTCCATGAGTGACTACTCTACTTCTAGCTTAGATGAGATAGGGAGACTAAGTCTCAAAATAAAAAAGTTTAAGCAATCTTCAGAATGAAGGTGAAAGGAAAAAAGAATCAAAGTGATGGATCATTTCGAAGTCCAGATACTACAATGATATTGCTGAATTTTGGAAGAAATGATCATTCAGAATAAAATTTGAATTTAGACCAGAGGACAGTCTGATGGGCTCAGTGCAGCCCCAAATTTATCACAGAATTTTGAATGTAACAGTTAGAGGGACCTCAGAGCTCATCTACCCCAACTCATATTCAAAAGAATTCCCCCCATAATACATACAGCAAGCTTTGGTCTTCGAGGCTTTGCTTTTTTTTTTTTTTTGGTTTTGTTTTTTGTTTTTAGGCAATTGGGGTTAAGTGACTTGCCCAGGGTCACACACAGCTAGTAAGTGTGTCAAGTGTTTGGTCTGAGGCCAGATTTGAACTCAGGTACTCCTGACTTCAGGGCCGGTACTCTACCCACTGCGCCACCTAGCTGCCCCTGAGGCTTTCCTTAAACACTTCCTATGAGAAGGAACCCACTTGTCCCATTTTTGAAAAGCTCTAATGGACAGGAAGGATTTCCTGACATCAAGTCTAGATTTTTCCTCTCACTGCTCCTAGTTTCACTTAATGGAGCCAAACAGAACAGACCTAATCCCTCTTCCATGTAATTACCCTTGAAATACTTTTCAAATAGCAGGTACCGCTCCTTAATTCTTCTCTTCTCCAGGCTGAGCATGAAGGGACTGTGCCCAAAAACCTTTTGGCAAGTCGGCCATTTGAAACACAGCACAGAAACAATGCTACGAGCTATGGTTAGGTTCCCAGGCGAGTCTACAAAAGTCTATTTAACACACAATAAATAAGACTAACAGTACTATTTTACCTGCATCAGACCATGCGTGATTGCACTGTGACTATGAGAAAAGGCATTTCGAGTTCTAAAGGCAAGAAGTCCAGAGCATACTCCCCCCAGCATTTCTGGCAGTGATTTCTCACATCAAAGGAAGAGGTGGGGTGTTCTGTTTCAGAAGGGCAGAGTAGACACACCCAGAGAACAATAACTCCATGTACTTGTTTCAGTCCTTTGATAGTTCAAAGATCCATGATTTGATCTATCTCTCCACTAGGTATTTGATCTACACTTCAGTGGGTAATCTCTCCACTGATTTAGATCTATGTCTCTCCATAACATCGTATGTACTTAAATGAATGAGTAGCCATGAATTCTGTAACCAAAAAAAGCTGCCTATTCAAAAAAAAAAAAGGCACCTTCATACATTATCACAGATTCACAGACATAGAGCAGGAAAGGACCTCAGAGATCATCTGATCAAAACCCTTTGTTTTACAGAGTAAGAAACTGAGGCCCAGAGATTAAGACCTGCCCAACATCACACAAGTAGTGGCAAAGGAAACCTCTGAACTCAGGTCTTCTGTGTCAATATCCAGGGCTCTTTTCAAAAATTGTAACAGTCTTAATAAAAGAGCCAAAGAATAAGAAATCCAAAAGGGGCCAGTGTCTTCATTTTCAGTAAGAGCAAACTAAGGCCCAGAGAAATGAAGTAATTTGTCCAAAGTGGAAGAAGGAATTAATGACAGAGCTAAGACTAGAACTCAGATGTACTGTCACCCAATATGATAATCTCCAGATGACAACTGTCTACATGTATGTTAAAGAAGGCACAGTTTGAAAAAAAAAAGAATTCTTTTTTTAAATTTTTATTTTAAATTCTTTTTGTGATTTGGACTGATCCACTTCTGGAGTTTATTGATTACTAACTAGGAATTCTTTAGGTAAATGACTCTCCATGTATTCTAAATTGGGGGGAGGGGAGGACACTGGTTTTCATTGTTGTGTTGGGGTAAGGACAGTACATGGGAACTCCAGATCCACAACCATTTGCAGGGAAATAAGAAGCCTGTTAGGTGAGTAAAGGCTACTTGCTTCTAATATTGCCATTTGGTTCATTATAACATCTCCTTTCCTAACATCAGGCTCAATATCAAATAGATGCCAGGGTTGGGGGAAGGAGAAGTGTCCTTATTTCCATTACGGATACGGATACACACACACACACACACACACACACACACACACTTATTTATTTAAAAAATTTCCCCTTTAACTATAATCTAATAATCTTGGGTCCCCAAAGCCTGAATTTCCCATTTTGGTGGTCTATATGGATTGCCTTTATTTCTACTTTATTTCTTTATTTTACTTTGGGTGATGTAGACACAGACTTTATGTTCTATGTCCTCATTCTGCTTCTCCATTATACTCAATTTAACTTGACCCAGTACCTCAAAGATTACTAGATTTGGAGTCAGAGAACCTGTGTAACCTTGAACACTTAACTTCTCTGGTTCTGTTTCTTCTACAAAATAAAGGAATTGGACAAGATGATCTCAGAGGTCCTATCCTGCTCTATATTCTATGATTTTCAAAGTCCGATGGATTTTTTTATAACCAAAGACACGAATGGATATATTGACAAGCAAGTCTTTTTTTTTTCTTTTCTTTTAGGAAAGGGACCCTTGAACTGCTTATCCTGCATGTGGAGCTACCATCTCTTAGGAGGAATCTGCAGCTCAGATTGTCTTACAGGAGAATACAGAGTAGGCGAGGTATTTCACATTCTGAGTTGTTTGGCTTTTTCCATACTTTTTGTAGTAAGATGCAAGAGACCCTGCAGGGGCAGCTAGGTGGCACAATGGATGGAGCACCAGCCCCAGAGTCAGGAGGACACGAGTTCAAATTTGGCCTCAGACACTTACTAGCTGTGTGACCCTGGGCAAGTCGTTTAATCCTGATTGCCTCCAAAAAGAGAGAGACCTTGCTAAGTCCTACGCCATAGTATTTTGAACTGTGCTATGATTTCATTACTTTGGGAAATTTTCAGAAAGGAAACTCCCTTTACCCATGCTGATCAGGACCTTGTCTGGGGCAATGAGAGTTTAAGTAACTTGCACAAGATCACGTAGACAGTGTGTGTCAGAGCAGGGCTGGGGAATCTGAGGCCTGGAGGCCACATGTGGCCTTCTAGGTCCTTGAGTGCAGCCTTTTGCCTGAGCCCAAGTTTTACAGAACAAATCTTTTTATTAAGGGAATTTGTTCTGCAAAGTTTGGATTCAGTCAAAGGGTTGCACTCAAGGACCTAGAAGGCCATATGTGTCCTCCAGGCCACAGGTTCTCCACCCCTGTGTCAGAGGAGGGACTTTAACCCACCCCTTCCCAACTCCAAGGCTATCTCTCTCTTCATTTCACTGCCCTATCTCAGAAGAAAGTTAAGGAAATGATTGCATTGGAACCAGAAGAGTGGGTTGTGATGGTAACACTGTCAGGGTCCCTTGTTCTCTGAATGAACGGGTCCCATAATCTCTGATCAAGACAATGCCTAACAGACAGGGAAAGGCTTGGGAAATATTGTCAAGGACAATACTGCAACCACTGTAGACCTTGTGACACAAATTTATAAGCACCCCAAACCTGCAATGTCTATCTCTGTGTGTAACACCTCGAACAGCTCTCAGCATGGCCTGACTTCTCCAGGAGCACACACGATAAAGAAAGACACAGAAATGCATGAAAAAGCCATCTAGGAATAACAGACAATTCCCCCCTGATCTGCCAGAGTTTGTTGGGTCTCCCTCTCTGTTTCCTTCCATGGAAGATTTTTCTGAAACATCAGATTAATGAAAACATAGCCAAAATTTCTGGTTCTCCTAGGTTTTATCTGCTGCTTGAAGAAAACAGAGACTAGTAAAATGGAAACAAACTTGAATTGGAAGCAACCATAGAGTGAGTGAGAGAGAAGTGATGATGTCATTTTCTGGGCTATTGTATACATGGCTACCTTCTTGTCCCTTGCCTTGCCAAGATGCTTTGACTTTGTAGTTGTGATAACAGAGCCCAGTACTGCTCCTTAAATTTTGTCATGAGCTGTGATAGAATTACTGAATTATCAGGGGACTCAGGCTCTACCATTCACCATCTGGCACCCTATGTGACCTCAGACAAGTCAGTTAACCTCTTTGGTTAACTTTGAACATGAAGAATTGTATTATTTGATCATCCAGGGCCCTTCCCAGCTCCAACCTTATATGATTTTACAAACTAACAAGTCCAAGTCCTCCATGAAGGGTCCTTCAGTGAATTCCTCCCCACTCCCCATCCCTGGCCTCATGCATTAAAAAAAAAAAAAAAAATGAATTTCTTGGTGGTTATTTTCAGGGAGAAGATTTTGAATGTGATAAATGCCATGAGAGCTGTACTGAGTGCAAGGGCCCAGGCCCTCAAAACTGCACCATGTGCCCAGCTAATATGATGCTGTATGAAGAGGATGGTCGCTGCATTCCCTGCTGCAGCAGCTCAAATTTTACAGATGTTCAGGATTGCTGTGACTGCCAAGAGACCACAGGTGAGTATAAGAAAGCACACAATATGAGTAGGTATAGAAAAGTCCGATGGTCAGGATGAGGAGGGATGGATAGGGAAGAGATAATAATGATTTTCTTGATTAAAGACTTCATTTTATGTTTCTTTTTTTCCTCCCTTTGTTCTCTTCAGGGGATGATGTCAACATAGTCTTAATGTTGGGGTGTTGTTGTTTAATCATTTTCACTCATGTCTGACTCGTCATGACTCTTTCTGGAGTTTTTTTTAGCAAAGATACTGGAGTGGTTTGCCATTTCCTTCTCCAGCTCATTTTGCAGAGGAGGAAACTGAGGCAAACAGGATTAAGTGACTTGCCTAGGGTCATACAGCTAGTAAGTGTCTGAGGCAGGATTTAAACTCAGGTCTTCCTGACTCCAGAGCCAGTGCTCTATCTACTGAGCCACCTAGCAGCCTTTGTTGACGTAGGGCTACATGATGAGAAACCCTGCTCCTCAGCACTTACCCCTTCCTCCCCACCCCACCCCCATTCCTCATATTTGGTATGGCCTACATTGCCCTGACCAATATTGTTTCTTAATAACACGTTTAATAGAAAAACCAAATTCATAATGTCACAAATCTACTGTGAAATCAATTTACTGATTGCCTAGGGTGTTGTTCCTATGTAATAAATTGAGTTGTTTTACCTGGTCATGTGTTTAATGGAACTAATTAATGATGTCAATGGATGATGTCAAGAGCAGCCCAGGGGGAAAAGGCTAACCTTGAAGTCAGAAAGACTTGTGTGGTTGACTGTGTGGCCCTGGGCAGGTCACCTAACTTCTCAGTACCTTCCAGCAACTCAGACCATAGATTAGGGGGAAACTGCAGATCTTTATCTGCACAGAAAATTTCAGCACTGTGAATTCCTTCCACTCTTGAAATCACAGATCCATTTGTGGTTTGTTTGTTATATATGCCTGTATATACTTTAAAAGCCTCCAAACCCACAACCAATCCACCAGGACCAGTCTTTAATCTTTGACAATGACCATATCAACTAAACATTCGGGAAGGCCTCAAGTGGCATTTCTCCTACCAATAGCAAAGGTATCCTTGCCAACCATCACCCTACTTGGGCTTCTGGTATACCCACGGTGAGTGGAATAGTCTTTGCAGATGTTTTTGTACACTTTTTTGTTTTGACCACGGGGTGCCATCCCACCTGCCTCCGTAATCAGGCCAGGGTTGGATAAGCAGACAATTTTTAAGGCACCTTTTCTAGCCCATTCCTCACACCAGGAGGCCATCGCACAACCAAATCCTTGTTAAATTTGTGCCATTGGAACATAAGGACAATTTAAGGCGAGGCTCATATTAATTTTCCTCTCATGTACAAAACAGTCTCTCTCTTATGCCCATATCTTTGCACAGACTGCCTCAGTGTCTGGAATGAATCCCCTCCCCGGGGTACCTTCATTCAGAGCATAGCTCATGTGTCACTTCTTATGGTGGGGGCAGTGAGGGGAGGAGAGGTTCCTGACTCCCTCAATTATCAGTGCTCTCTCTCACTCAAAATTGTATTTATACTTTCTTTTTTATTTGTGAAGTCTCTAATCCTTTCAGTGTTCCAGGCTGAGGAGGTGCTGACCTACGGTCAACAAAGGGAGTTTCCTCCTATGGCAGTGAAATCACAGTTTTGTCCCTTTTCCTATCTCTTCTCATCCCTATCCCTATCTCTTGCATTTGCTTCGGTCTTATCTTGAATTCTTGCCCCACCCCCACCCCAAAGAACAAGGTAATCCCTAAGAGGGTTTGGAATGCTTTTGTTTTGTGTTTGCTTGGAATGGTACTTTGTTTTTGTTTTGTATCTCCAGAACTTAATATAAAACCTTACTCACTGAGAGGGCTTAATAAAAATTTGTTGAATTGAATGGGATGCAAGAACTTCTACCAGTCTTGTCAACAATGCCCACAGGCAGTTGCAAACACTAATCATTTCTTCTCCTCTTTTCACTTCTCCAACTCCCTACCAAATACCCTACCTCCCACCCCTAACAACAGATGGTTTCCTCAGCTCCTCATGCACCTGGAGACCTGACTGCCCTTATATCTCTGGTGTGTCCATTAAGAATAATTGCCCTTATGATATCAATGCCCCTGAGGAACCAGGGACTATGGACTTTTATTGCCATATGTCAGTGAACACATGCCAGATAAGATCTCGGCTTTTATTACTAGCATCATGCAGAACTTCAGCAAGCTTTGTGGGACTACTCTATGGGATCCTAACGAATTTCTATTAACCACTAGTACCTACTTCACCAAGACTCTCAGCCCTGATACAGTGCACTTTGGGATAAATTTCAAGGAAATCTGTGGCAACCTCATCTTCATTTCTAAGGTTAGGGTAGTCCCCTAAGATAAATGGACTAACAAAGGATTTTAAAAAAATCATTAAAGCACGTGGGAAGCCCACATCTCTGAGGCTTTAAGAGTGATGAAAAATAATGACCAGATGCTCCTTGGCATCACAGAAACTAACAGTAGGTCATGACTGACACAGTCAATACAAAGCTACTGCTGCTGAAAAATATGATGATTATTATTGTAAGGAGACAATGGGAGGTAGCTGTATCGTAGCAGTTTTGTATTTTGAAGGCTGAGATTTAAGTCCTGGCCTGAAAGAGCTAGACCTCCAAAAACCAAATGAGTTAAATGTGTAACACACTTTGCAAACCTACAATCTTTTTAAAATAATCAGATCTTAGCAGCTGCACTAAGAGGAGAAGGGGCAGAGGAGGTTTGGCTAGAAAACAGTTGATGTGAAAAAATATTTTTAATTTAAATTTTCTTGGTTTTTTTTTTTTGCTAGGCAATGGGGTTAAGTGACTTGCCCAGAGTCACACAGCTCATAAGTGTTATGTGTCTTAGACCGGATTTGAACTCAGGTCCTCCTGAATCCAGGGCCGGTGCTCTATCCACTGCACCACCTAGCTGCCCCTTACATTTTCTTAAGTACCTACTAAGTGTTAGGCACCTCTAGTTGGGGCAGCTAGATGGCTCAGTGAATAGAGCACCAGGCATGGAGTTAGGAAGACCTGAGTTCAAATCCACTTATACAAGTCACTTAACCCTTATTTGCCTAGGAGGTAGCTAGATAGCTCAGAGAAAAGAACACTGGGCCTAGAGTAAAGAAGTCCTGAGTTCAAATCTAGTCTCAGACATACTAGCTGTGTGACCCTGGGCATGTTGCTTAACCTCGGTTTGCTTTAGTTCACTGCAGAAGGAAATGTAAAACCACTCCGGCATCTTTGACAAGAAACTCCCATGGACATTGAGGTCCATGGGGTCACAAAAAGTCACACACAACCGAACAACAAATGCATCAGGCGCTGTACCAAGTGCTTTACAAATATTATCTTATTTGATCCTTCCAATAACCCTGGGATGTAAATGCTATTAGTATCCCCATTTTACAGATGAGGAAACTGAGGCAGATTAGGGTTAAACTTGTCCAGGGGCACACCATTAAGTGGCTGAGGTCAAATTTGAACTCAGATCTTCCTGACTCCAAGTCCAGGGCTCTATATACTGTACCACATAGCTTCAGGTGTATTAGGTAACTTCAAGCTCACTATATCAGCTGAATGACCTAACAGCCAGAAACCACCTTAGATATTAAGCAGCATTATCAAAATTATAAATGAGTTTGTTTTTTTTAAAATCATCATAATTTCCCCAAATATCCCTCCCTCTCTCCTTCCCAGAGAATAATTCTTTTCTCTATCATATATCAATCCACTTCACTTAGGTGACTATCCCCATTTTAGGAATAAAGATGAGGTCCCCACAAATCACCTGACAAGGGACTCCAAATTACAACCTCCTAGTTTATAGAAAAACAAAGATTTTTCTTTTCTTATCTCCTATTCTTCCCTTAGTTAACGTGTGGGAGTTTTCATTCATCTAAGAATGAGGAATAAGGAAATAATCCTTTGTTGATTGACTAGCCCTTCATTTCTGAAAATTATGGAACAGATAGCAGAAACAAAATTTTTAAATATAACTCTTATCCCCACCCCGAGTCATGATTTGAGTCTTTCTTACTTGAGTAGAAAGTGAAAGAAGACTAGATTGTGGATGGCTTTTATAGGCCAAGAAAGCAAGGGTTGGGAACATGAATAGATTTTTCCAATATTTCCCATGGGGGAAGGAGAATTTGAGATGATACAGGGGACCATTTGTAAGTCATTTGGAGTTGACCCCAAATGATATAGGGTATCAGGAGGATCCTTGAGGCCCCCTTTTGTGGGAAACCCTTGTCCAGATATATAAAATTCAATTCTTTAGGCATCCAGAGGTGTTTCCTCCATGGGAACTAGAGTAACATTTAGTGCTTCTAGCATTTGGAATACAATTTCCAAACAGCTAACCTCCAAAGCTTATTCTCCCCCCTTTCTTCCTTTCTTGCTTTCTTTTGATTCTATCATCTTCTAGAGGAGTGCAGCTTTCGACATGGTGTGATTATGCCCAAGACTGAGAAGTCAAAGAGGACAGGTCTGCTCATCACTTCCTCCATCATGCTGATCCTCCTCTTTGGGGTCACAATCTATGTTTGGAAGAGGTCCCGGGCCAAATCCCAAAAGGCTCAAAAGGCTGGATATGAGAAACTGTCATACCAAAACAAGACTTCCTCTTCCTATAAAAGCAGCTATCGAGAGAGCACCAACTTCCAAGAGGACCAAGTTATTGAATACAGAGACCGGGACTATGATGAAGATGAAGATGATGACATTGTCTACATGAGTCAAGATGGCACAGTCTATCGGAAATTTAAGTATGGTCTGCTGAATGATGATGATGAAGATGAGTTGGAATATGATGATGAGAGCTACTCATTTAAGTAAATTCAAATATATTGATAGGATTACTTTTCTACTCCTAAGTATTAACTTTGGGGAGTATTTTATTGCTGGCAACCCCAGCTCAGGCTTTGTGGACATCCTTAAACATTTTTTCTATTCTTTTGGGTATTTAAGCTCAGGTATCACTCCAAATTCATTCAGAATCCAAGAGAAAGGCAAAGATGAATAGGTCTTTTCCCTAGGCATTATATCAAAGCACCACTACCCTCACTTCAGTTAACAGCCCAGAGTGAAAATACATGTTTTCCACTAGTTGCAAGAGATCAAACATTCCCTACAGGCCTCCCATTTCCACACTACACAAAGGAGTTGGGAGTGGCTCCTGGGACTTTCTAAAACTTCCTGGGGTACTCTTAATTTTTTTCATGACTTTTTTTAACTGTTTATTTTTAGTTTTGTCCATAAGTCAAACTGTGAGAATTAACAAGAAAGTCACCCCTTCTTCTTATCACAGACTTCTAAACTCTCTCTCTCTCTCTTTCACACACACACAGGCTGGCATTTGGCACATGCTACAATGGAGTAGATCTGCTACAGAAGTTGTCAGCTATTGCCTATATTCTTACAAGATTTAGAGAAAGTGTCAGGGGAGAAGAATGGACGGTTTCCTAGGCTTAATAGCTCTTTGAAATGCTATAGGCTGACAATATTGTTTAGGGACCAAAGGACTACAAATGGAAGTGTGGGGAGGCAGGCAGTAATAAGAACAGGCAGAAGAAAACTCTGAGATTGCCAAAGAGCACATCTGTCTCTTATTGGTGTGGTTGTTTTCTCCAAGAGCCCAAGACTATCCATTCTGCAGATTCAGTTAAAAACATCGAGAAATAAAGATAATTGGCAATGCCAACCCCCAAGCAGATGTGATTTAAAAAAAAAAAAGATATCCTCTCTCCTTAAAACAGCTTTAGCTACAAAATCAGGGAGGCTTTTCAAAACAGGTTTTAGATCTGCTGATTTGATAGAGCATTTGGGAAAAGAGTCTAAGGCTAAGGGAAAGAGCCAGCATTTTGGCTTCTTAGAGTACAAATTATCTCCTCTCTGTCTCTGTCTCTGTCTCTCTTTCTGTCTCTGTCTATCTGTCTGTCTGCCTCTCTCTCAACACTTTCTTGAAAGACTTTTGTTTCTATAGCATTCCACACTTATGTAAAATATATTTGAGCCCAAGCTTTAGAATTCTCTGAAAAAGGAGGGGGGGAGGCTTTCCTGAAATAAACAATGACATGAGAAGAACCCTTACTATACAAAATAATGAAAGCAAAGCCCTTTTTATTTGTTGGCTTGTTTTGGAAAGAGTCTCCTGCCAAACTAGAAGTCTACACAGAGAGCTTGAGTGGGAATAACTCTCAGCTTCAACAATGTCAATAGTGATCATATTAAGCCTTCCCATCAAATTGTTCCCCTAAGAAAAACTACATCTCAAACATGGTGGCCAGAACTAAATGGTGCTGAAGTTAAAAAAAAAATCCTAGAGGTAGAGGCAGGGATAAGAATATCAGGAAGTAGATGAACCAGTTTTGGGTAAACTGCAAGTCATGTACAGTGGGGTGGAGGTAGAGGAAGAAGGAAATAGTGTGTAGTAAAAACATGCCTCTGCATGGGTTTTTTCTTCACCCTTGTGACTTTTTTAAAAAAAAATCAGTATTTTTGTAATACTTGAATTATCTTCCTTTAAAGCAAGCATCTTTTTAATGAAAAGTGTAACCACCTACATTCATGCTAAAGAATTCTTTCTTGGAACTCCTGTGTCCCCTTAATAAAACCCTCTTTTAAAAAGCTAACTTTAAAGCCTGTATTAGAGGTTTTGCTCTTTTTTGGTGTTATAGATCCCTTTGGCAGCTCAGTGAAACCTATGAGCCCCTTTTCAGAATAATATTTTTAAGTGAATAAAATAAAATACATAGGATTACAAAGGAAGTCAATTATATTAAAATACAGTTATCAAAAATTTTTTACAAAACAAGTTTGTGGACCCTCAGCTAAAACCACCACACACACACACACACACACACACACACACACACACACACACATACACACTATGCAGTATGGAATCATGCATCAACTAAAATTGTCTCCACTATTGGGGGGAGGAGGGTCGAGCATCGCACTTGCAATTTCCTATGTATAAGGAATTCAAATGAGCAAATTCCCTCCAGGAGTGTAGATCAACACCTACTCCGCAGCTTTCATTCTTAGACAAGTTACCTGTGGCATTATGAGATTAAGCAACTTTCCCAGGGTCACACAGCCAGTATATGGCATAGGCAAGTCTTGAACAAAGGTTTTCCTGATGTCAAAGCAGCTCTCTATCTTTTGTGCCACATTGCCTCTTCAACTACAACAATCTTTTTTAAATTGCGTTGCTTCTTTTCCAATCCAATATTTAAATATAATTGTGTAAACAAATCAGTCACCTTGCCAGGGTGGACTACTCCCCATTTATTAAAGACTCCTCTCAGATTGTACAACATTGTTGATATCGCTGGTGTAATGTCTCTTGTTCTTACTGTTTTCAAAGCATTTTTAGGGACCCCAACACTCCTCTAGGGCACCTAGAAGTTGTTTCCCACTTGGAAAGGACTGGTGTTTATGATACATTGTGTAAAGTTAAGAAGGTCCTTGAATTCTGAGGGAGAACCCTCTGTTGCTGTAACTTATAATGAGAACTTGCATTTATTGTTAAAATTTAATGTCTCTCTTCCTTGTCAGAAATGTCACATTATGTTTCAGGTTGCTTTGCAACAATGTGCAAACAAGTGCTTAATAGATAAAAACATGTTGGGGGAAAATAAACTTTTTTGTTTTGTTTTGTTTTCTGTTTGCAAAAGCCTTGGTAATTTTCTGAAGAATCAGTGAGTGCTGGGAATACACCAAGAAACTGGATAATATGTTGAGATGTTCAAGATAATGAACATAAATGTGACGTTAGAAAGGAAATAAATGCTGAACGACAAAGGGACTTTGCTCTGCATTTGGAGATGCAATCGGTTGACCCAGAAGCATTTACTGAGTACCTACTATGTTCCTAGCTCTCTCTAAATTATGAATAAGGATAGGTTACATGAGAAATATAAGGCATGATGCCCATGATAGTGAATCTTTTGGTTTATTTGGACAGGCAAAACTTATAGGCACATGGTAATTACTGAATAACACAAGACAGCAGCATGATGTAATGACTAGAGGACTGGCCTTGGAATCAGGACATTCTGGGTTCAAGTTTTGCCTCTAACACATACTAGCTCTGTGACTAGGGACAAATTCTCCCAGTGCCACAGACAGCTTTCTAAGGCTATATACTAAAGATAAGGAGCCAATCTGCATCACTACCAAGAGTTTCCACACCAGGGAGGTACTTAATGGATGAAATCATAGATTAGGACCAAAAAAAGTTCAAATTAGACACTGTAGATTGAGTCATTAAATTGTATAGTTGTGACTAGGCATTTTAGGAAGGGAAAAAGCAAAAGTGACCAGGTTAGGGAAGGAAGGCTTGTAATAGAAACATAGATTTAGAGGTGGATGAACCTGGCAATCTTACAAATACAGAAATTGAGGCTGAAAGAGGTGAAATGCCTTGCCAAGGATTTTACAGATACTGTGCCAGTGGCAGAAGCAGGATATGAGCTCAATTCCTCATTGGATGTGCTACTAGAAAGAAGGCTGGCTTTGGAGTCAGAGGACCTGGGTTCAAATTCTACTTCTGCCACACACTTAACTATCTGACTTGGGATATGTCATTCCCCCCCCCCCATTTCCTGATCTATAAAATGAGGGTTTTTTCCAGACACAAATCTATAGTCACATCCCAGATCCATTATATCACAGTGCCTCTCAATGTTGCATCATGAAGACATGGGACCTGAGACAGGATTTAAAGGATGGGTATGATTTGGGAAGAAAAAGAAGGGTGGGCAAGCAGGTACTAGGTGATAACTAGAGAGAATCACGTTGATTGGGAAAATGCTGGCCCTGCCTATCTTGTGACAGAAGAATAAATTTCATCCCAAAGTGGATGGGAATAATTGCTGTAATCTTACAATATTCAATGATAACCTTCCTCCTTAACAGTAGGATGGGGGGAGGGGGTAGCTAGGTGGTGCAGTGAATAGAGCACCAGCCCCGGAGTCAGGAGGACCTGAGTTCAAATCTGGCCTCAGGCACTTGATACTTACTAGCTGTGTGACCCTAGGCAAGTCACTTAGCCACAGTTGCCTCACCAAAAAAAAAAAAGGTAGTCACACTGTTGGTGAAGCAGTGAGATTATCCAACCATGCCAGGATACAGTTATCCCTTCTATAGTGTGACTTTCCCCATCACAGTTTCGATATATTATGGGTTGGCATAAGAAATTAAATGGGAATTTGGGAGGAGTTTTGTGGAAGCCAAAGACAACATATGAAGGCTAGCAGACAACACAGAAAATGTTTAGAAATGCAAAAATGTATTTATATATATATATATATATATATGTATATATATAATATTGTATAATATCAACATATTTTATCTTTTAATGCCATAATAATTCAGAATTCTTCTCTGGTACTAAAAGAGGACCAAGAAATTTTATGTGCCTTTTCCGGATCACAGGGGTACCACACCCCTAACCCCCATGATGTGGAAGGGAAAGAGAATCAGATAAGGGGTAGACTATGAGGTGGCCTTAATTATCAATCTAAGAAGTTTGAACTTTGTCCTATAAGCATTAGGAAGCCATTGGAAGATTTAGAGTAGGGTAATGACATGTAAAAAGGTAGTATATGAAGATGAATCTGTCATGAATATGTTGAATGGATCAGAGGTCAAAGAAACCAGAAAGGAGAGTATTACAATATCGTGGCATGAAGTGGAAAGATCCTGGGTTAGGATGGGGACAAAAGGGATGGACAGAAAGAGACGGATATGAAAGACAGGCAAAAGAAGATTCAGAGGATCTGGTGAGTAGGAAAAAGTAATCGATCATGACTATAAAGTTTTGAGCTATGGTAACTATGGAAGAATGGAGAAACAGAGAAAGCTAGAGAAATGGCTGGTATGGGGAGAAAGATAACTAAACACGTTAAGTCTGCAATGACATTGGGCTATTGAGGTGGAGAAGACCAGTGGGAAGTTAGAGTCGTGGGACTGAAGCACGGTGTGCTAGTCAGGTTTGGGAATTTTAAGTAATGTAGACAAAACCTTACATTTAGTTTCTCTAACTATAGAGTATAGTTATAATGTAAGAATTGATTTTTAATTGTTTGTTGATATATTTTGTTTTCCTATCATGTTCATTTCTGTCTATATCCTTCTTCCTCTCCTATCCAGTGATCCATCCCTTATAACAAATATTTTTTTAAAGAGAAGAATAGTTTAGAAAAAACCAACACTTCAAACAAGTCTGAAAGTACATGCAATATTCCACACCCATAGTCCTCCACATTTGCAAAGAAGGGTGCTGAGTACATTTTCCCTATTCTCCTCATACACTGAGCTTCTTGGTCATTATAATCACACAGAATCCAGATTGTTTGTCACTGTTGTTGTTATTTCCATTTACATCATTACGCAAATTTATATATTCATGCAAAGAGGGAAAAAGGTTTTTGCTCTTCTCATCAATGATATCTCCATATACCTGCTTTGGCCTGATGCAGGGAAGCAAAGTCCCAGACATAAGTACTGTAGCTGAATCCCAGGAAACCAGCTTGGTGCAAGCAGCCAGATGGCTCAGCATGTTCCGTGGTAATTAGAGAGGGCTATTGCATTTTCTGCCAGGGCAGAGCTAGGATTCTCTCTCTCTCTCTCTCTCTCTCTCTCTCTCTCTCTCTCTCTCTCTCTCTCTGTGTGCGTGTGTGTGTGTGTGTGTGTGTGTGTGTGTGTGTGTGTGTGTTTTCAATGAATGCATCTGTTCTAGGGTAAACAGATACAGCTAAGGAGAATTCTCATGGAAATTCATCAGTATCTCTGTCTCCATAAGCATGGATCATCTCTGGCTAAAAAGGCCCTGCTCTAAGTGGCCCACCTCACACAAGTTACAGGTCCAGACTGAAAACAGATTTGGGAATAATTTAGAGACAAATCATCATTTTACAGTATGTGAACACAGTCCAATTCGATTAGGTTATAAGTTCCACGTGATGATAAAATATGAATGTGGGAGATTTGCTAAATTAAGAGAGAAAAAAAATTAACTCCAACCTAATCTTGGATCTAAGATTTCAAATGAAATGAGTATGATGGTGCTAGTGTTTAGAATACTTTCTGGTGGAAAATTAAGAAAGGCATCATCCATGGTGATTAATAAATGAAAAAATGGCAACCACAGATCAGCAAGCTTAGGAAAGAACTGGCAGAACACTTCCAAAGTTGACCTAAAAAAGGAAATAGTTAAGGCAATCATTAGCCAGGCTCAAGATTAAGAGGGTCAGAGTCTGGCTTACTGTCAACCATGTCTAATATTAATTGCCACCACATGTTCCCAAACATAACAGGAATGAGTTCAAGGAATGGGGCAGAAGACCTTCAGGCTTAGGAGAAAGGATTATGGTTTACCACTTTTTTCCTCCTCCCCTCTCTCCTCCCCCTCTCCTCTTCTCTTCCCTTCTTTCCTCTTTTTGTAAGATTGGAAATCCCTATCTTACCCCAGGCTGGAAATCCAGCACCTACTCACAGGTCAATTCCAAAGCCCAAAAACTTTAACACGCTTCATTTTTTTTTTCAATGTGGACTAATTTATCCCTCCTTGGGCAGCATAGTGGCTGCCCAAGTGGCTGCCCATTCCTGGGGGTTTACCTTGTTGGTATCAGACTTGGTGCAGACAACCAATCACCTCTAGCTCTACTATAATTAAGACCTCCCATACCCGTGATTCACCAGCAACAGGGAGTGCCTGTTTGACAAATGTGTGCCACTGCTTTACCATTTTTTAAGCTGGCTTCTCAGAAAATAATAGTTACTCCTTAATCACAAATTAGATGTTTTTAAAAGTGTAAGAGCAGGAGGACAAATATGGGATAGCCGATGATACTGGGCTTGGAGTAAGTAAAGACCTGAGTTTAAATCCCACCTTTGACACTTACTAGCTATTTAACTATAGTCTCCTCTTAACCTTTCTGAGACTCAATTTCTCTTCTTTAAATTGGGGATACTGTAGTACCTATTCCATAGAACTCTTTTAAGGATGGAATTAAATAATATTCATTAAGTACTTTGCAAAATTTTTATATATATATATATATAGATAGATAGATACATATATATGTATATATGGCAGTTATTATTATAACTGCTTAGACTATATGTGTGTGTGTGTATTCCACAAATGTGGGCAGCGTGATCCATAGCTCCCATACAAGCACTCAAGGTAACAAATGCATGTGAGATACAAGAGAGCCTTTATCTCACCCCATCAAAAATGCAGAATATACAGAAGACTCACAGGATCCCACAAACAACTAAAGGAAAGACATGACATGATGCCTAATAGCTCATAAAACACAATTCTTCCTCCTCAGTGAGCTCCACTTTCGCACAGAGCCTATGTAGGTTCCCCCTCCCATTCTAAGTTAGTATAATCCTATAGTTTGGAATTCTGCCAGAAACAAATACATTTTGCAGCTGC